CACTCGTTTCCATTGTCTCCACTCTGGCATTTACATTTTTAGTCTTTTCCTTCTCTAAGAGTTTTTTTTTCCCCTTCTCATCTCTTAAATAGGATATATAAAATTGCAGTCATTGCTGAACATTTAATTATTTCAATGTTGACATTCAAAACAAAACTATATTGGGTCCAAATGCCCTCTTCTTCAGCCTTTTCCGTTTTTAAAATGGATTTATTTATTTATTTACACAGTGTTCTGCCTGCATGTGTGCCTACACGTCAGCAGAGGGCAGCAAATTTTGTTATAGATGGTTGTGAGCCACCATGTGGGTGGTGGGAATTGAACTCAGGACCTTGGAAAGAATAGCGAGTGCTCTTAACCTCTGAGTCATCTCTCCATCTTCCATTTTTTAATATGGGAAACATCTACTTTTAAATTTCTCTGCATTTCTACTTCTTAAGGAGAGTTTACTTTATTATTTAAACTTACTATTTCTTTCCATGACTGTCTATATTCAGATGGGGACAACCCACTGTGCCAACCTTGGGAGAACCTTTCCACCCACCGGCCTTTCTGGCAGAGTGGCCAGGGTGACTTTACCTGCCTTTGGCTTCTCTGAAGTCTCTGTGTTGCAGCAGCTCCGGTGGTGCACAGCGGGGATTCTGCAGGACCCTCGCTTTGTCCCCAGCCTCTCAAGCTCTGGGGAAGGGCGCTATGCCTGCCCACCCCAGCTCTGGGAAGTTCCTGCTGCACAGTAGCCCATCAGCTTTTCAGTTGCTAAGAAACCGGCTCTGCATCCCAGAACCTTTGGTCTAATGCCTGCCAAATCTAGAGTCTAAGCCTGAATTCTGTAAGTTCTTGCTCCAGATGCCGATGTAAGGATTTTTTTTTGATGACTGCTCTAGCTCCCAAATAATGAGGCGGGGACCTGTTAACGTTTATTAATAAGCTTTAAGCACCATACCCGGGCAGATATCGGTCTGTTCTGACCCGTCTATGGTAGCCTGGCCTACTTCTATCTATCCTGTTTCCTGTCCTCTTTCCCTGGCCACCTTTGCTCCATCTTTGTCCTCTTGGCGACTCCCCATAGTGACCTCTTCCCCAGGGCATGGATACCTACTCCTCTCTCTCTACCTGAGACCCCCAGACTGGGAATGGAAGCCCTGCCTACTGTCTCCTCTGCCCAGTCATTGGCTCTTCAACTTCTTTATAAAATTAGAGATAATTGGAGGGTAATTTTTACACAACATTGAGACAGGAGATTCCTCAATAGTGATGAAAATACCAGAGTCTGTTAACTTTTAGCGCACTACCAGTTCAGTAACTAACAATCAAATATACAGAGACATGCTGGGAGCGAGCAAAAGAAACTCATTGTAAGTACTGCCATTTTGTTTTCAGACTGCATTTACTCACAGGGAGAAGCTAACTAAATTCAAGCTCCCGGGCCCTATTGATGACTCCCCAATGGCTGAACAGCCTCTGTTGTAAGGAGACAGTTGTCTGTCTGAGTCCAGCCATCTCAGGGACAACTTGTGCATCTTGCTGGCAGGGTCAAACAAGTTCACGTTCCCAGGCCCGGGGACCTACTCCTGTCCTGACTGATGGAAACTCCCTTGATCAACCCCTTGTGTCAAAATGTGATTGGACAAGGCTACACCCCCACCCCTGCTTTGGGCTCCCATCGTTTGAAAATGCTGCGCAATCTCCTTCCCAGGACGTGTTTCAGATCCCAAACTGGCCGCCTCCCTGAGCTCAGAAAATAAAGCTTCCATTTTAAGCTTCTGTATCTGGAGTGAATTTTCTCGGTCTCCACCTTGAACCCAACATTACACACCTTATTTCAATGTGAATAAAGGTTACCTGTGCACCAGTGCTTGGTGGCTGGAGGGGGAGGGTAGAGACGGGAGGATCTGGTGTTCAAAGTTATCCTCTGCCTCATAGTGAGTTTTGGGCCACCTTGAATGTGACACCCAAAAAAAAACAAAACAGGGCCTGGGGATATGCTCAGTGGGTAAAAGCAGTTGACATTCAAGCTTGAGAAGCTGAGTTAGAGTCTCCTACACCCGTGTAAAAAGCCGAGCATGGCTACACATGCATGTAAGCCTAGCGTTGGGTGACAGAGGGGCCAATCCCAACTCCCTAGACAGTCAGCCGAAATGATGAACCTTCAGTTCAGCGGGAGACTCTGTCTTGAGTGAACACGGTAGAAGGTGGTAGAGGCAGACACTTCATCTCCTGTTCTGGCCCTGCACGAAAGCATGGATGGACACAGAAGATGCACACTCAAGTGCCTGCAAAACACACACACACATACATCCATGCATGGTGGCACATGCCTTTATTAATCCAAGCACTCAGGAGGCAGAAGCAGGCGGACATCTGTGAGCTCAGGGCCAGCCTGATCTACAAAGAGAGTTTTCAGGACAGTCAGAGGCATCCCATCTCAAATAACTAAGTAAATTATATATAAAATTTGGGAGGAAAAATTAATGTACCCAATGTTAGTAAAAGCCTAGCTGATCATCTTTTCTTTATTGTTCTTGTTTTGAAACTTGAACTTCCTGTGTAGCCAAGGAAAGCTTTGAACTTCTGGTCCTCCACTCCCCACATCCAGAGCACTGTGATTGCAGTTACGGGATTTCATGCCTAAAGTCTGAAGCCAGGGCTACCCTGTCTGAGGACAACTAAAACACCACCCTTTCTTTCCAACAGTGTGCCCCCACTGGCCTCCAGGCGGCGCCACTCGGCCGGCAGAGTCTGAGCCGGCCGTCCCCCAAGGCTCAGGTTCATAGATTTCCTCCCGTTTTAAGCCTTTGGTTTGTGGCCAGTGAGAAGCCCTGGCAGGTAAAGGCTGCCAAGTCTGACAGCCTCGGTTGGGCCTCCTGAGAATCTTCTCCTGAGAGCCGCCATCTGACCTCCACAAAGCAGGGGCATACACACAACAGATAAATACATGTAACTTTAAAACCTAAAACACTTTCCTGCCGGGCATGGCGGCATCTGGGGAGGCAGAGGCAGGGAGCTCTGTGAGTGTGAGGCCGGCCTGGTCTATAAAGTGAGTGCAGGACATCCAAGGCACCTGTCTCGAAAAACATACAAACAAAACAGCCCCCAAGCTTTTGTTTCCTTTCCATATGCGTGTGTGTATAATCTATACAGACCTATCTATGTGTGCTATACATATATGCACTCACTCATGTATGAGACCTGTCTAGGCTACATTGCAAAATGCTGATTTAAAAAAAAAAAAATCTACAGAGGTGGCACAGTGGTTAAAACCACTGACTGCTTATCCAAAGGACCCAGGTTCAGTTCTAAGGAGCAACATGCCAGTTCACAACTATGTGTAACTCCAACTCCAGAGATTCTGGTGGGTTTTGACCTTCCTAGGCAGCAAGCACACATATGTGCTGTGGCTGTTCATGCAGGCACAGCAGAGAAACACGTAAGATAAGAAACAAATATCGGTGCATTTCAAAATTAACATTTAACCCGTTACATGACTACTCATCTGTTTAATCAACCTTACTTGCTGCTCTAACAAAATAGATGACCTTCAAAACCCAAGTTTAAGGGCCAGGATTTGGCTCAGTGGGTAGAGCTACTTGCCCTTTCTAGGTCATTTCATAAAGGGACTGAGCAGGCTCTGTGTATAGAATGAGTGAGCCACTTTCGAGCCCCCTCTGTCCACAGGGAAGTCATGAGGAAGCCAAGTTATGACAAGAAGTTATGACTGCAGCTGTAAATGACCTGACAAAAGTGTGTTGTTGTTTTAATAGTTGTTGGGGGTTTTGTCTGTCTGTCGTCTGTCTGCCTGTTTTGGTTTTTCGAGACAGGGTTTCTTTGTGGAGCTTTGGTTGTCCTGGACTCGATGTGTAGCCCAGCTGGAACTCACAGAGATCCTCCTGCCTCTGCCTGGAAAGTGCTGGGATTGAAAGTGTGCAGCCCTGCGGCCTGGCCAGAAACAAGGATTTGTACTGAAAGACTGAGCCAGTGGGAGAACGCAAGCTTCCAGGGGCCTGCAAGTGTTCTCCTGGGTCCCCTTGGCCCCGAACCTTTGCTTGAGCAATAACTGGCAAAAGGGAGTGAGATGTGGCAATGGGTCCGTTGGTACCCTGAGAAACCGGAACCCCAACCCCAAGCCTGCGCTTTGCCGGATCACATCTGCCAAACCGTCCTGCAGACTCTCGCTTGCTCTGGACAATTTGTTCAGCAATAAGATGGCAAGCCCCAAATCAAAGCCAGCAGAAAACAGGCAGGGTTTGCGCCCAGATCTGATGTTAGGTCTTAATCTCTTCCCTCTGGGCGCTCATATGCGTGAAGAGGCGAGGACTGGGACCCATAGACCCACAAGAGAGGATGGGAACAGGGCTGTGATCCTTCTAACTCTGCAGCAGAGAACTGGGGCCTCACTTCTGGAGTGGCCTGCCTTGCTCTCACTGGGAGCTCACATCCCTGAGAGGCACAGTCATAGACACAGCCCTTAGAGGGAGCAGATGAGGGCCGGGAGGCCAAGAGGAAGCTAGGACACAGACAGGCAGAAGAGCAGGCCAGGAAGTCAGGCTAAAGGGGACACAAGAAGGGACAGCGCGGTCGGGGCTCCGGGAACAGGGCTTGGACACCAGTGAACTGTGAGAAGGGAAGAGACCCTGGAGCTCTGGAGTGGCCATAGTGAGGCTCGACCGAGGGCGGGAGTGCAGGGAGAATCCAGTGAACAGGGCTCGATACTAAAGCACAGGAGGAACTCTCAGGTCAGAGAAGTCCCAAGCGATCCCTGATACTAAGACCCCAGCAGGGTCCCAGGGCGGCGCTTTGAGCATGGCAGCCAACGTCTTGTTCTTTGGCGTTTTATTTCAAAATTGCAGCAAATACAGAGAGAAAAAAATGAACAGCGGAGAGCACCGGGGATCCGGCCTGAGAACGGAGATAGAGACGAGGCCACAGTTCGTCCTTGAACACCAAGACAAGGAGCAGCTGAGCCCTGAGACCCAAAATTTTAAGCGCGGGACCGGGGGGGGGGGGGGGAGGGACGGGGGGGCGGGGGAAATTGCCTGGGTCCCGCCCCTAAGGCTTTGGAGTGCAGCGACCACATGAGGGCGCCAGAGTCCCAGCTGTCCGGTCAGACCTTTTTCTATTGCACTTGTGAGTCTCTGGGAGGCGAGGACGCTGTACGGCATGACCAGCGGATCCAACCAGTGAGGGCACAGCTCACAGCGTCACACCGGAAACATCCAATCGTGGCCACGGGCTCCATACTGCCGGACAACAGAGTTGCCGCATTGAGACAGCTGTACTACAACGCCTAGCAAACCCTGCAGCATCGAAAGCTGACTTGCCTTATGGGAAGTGTAGTCCTTGACCCGGAGGCCCGCCCACAATTCCAAGGGGACATATACGCTGCGAGTTGCAAGGCCTTGAAGGCTCTTGGGAAAAGGCATTTTCAGCTCAGATGTGTAGTGAGTGCTAGGGGCCAACATGGGGCCAGGATACCCAGTCACCTCAGGTCCAGTTTATGAGCCCAGGGGTTCTCTGGAAACCCTCTTGGCTCACAATAATGGGAATGCTCCAGAGACTTGTTGGAGGAAGCCTTCCAGGCCAGGGAGAGGCAAGGGAGGAAGCTTGCCGCGCCAAAGGAACAGCCAAGAGCCCCAGGGAGTCGTGGGAGGCCCATTTGTGGGGCCAATGGCCCAGAGGCTCATAAAAAGAGGGTTCTGTCTTTAGGACCCAGAGCAGCAGAGACTCATGGCAAGGGGCCTATGATTCATGAAACACAGAAAATTCCCTAATGGCCAGAGCTATTCAGAGGGAAGGATCCTTCAATTAGAGTTGTTGCTCCCATGCCCACGAGCTCACCTGAATAGCCTTTAACTCCGTCTGGAAGCGCAGGATGAGTTCCGGCCCGTTCTCCATGGTGGGAATGTGGAGTTGCTGGGGGAAGGGGGCCATGAGGATGGGGCACTCTCCCTCTCTCTCCCACCTACCCTGGCAGCTCCTCCTCACCTTGCCTTCGAACAGGATCTGATGCACCGGGCAGACCTGACAAGCAGTGCCTGACCCGAAGACTTCGCGCACCCGGCCCTCCTCCAACGCCCGCTTCAGTTCCTTCATGGTGACCTTGCGCTCTATCACCCGAAACTCACCCTGCATAACAAGGGGGCGGAAACACTCCGGAACCCAGCCTCCTGACCGGCTGGAGACCACCATCATTCCCTCCCTAAGGCTGCTGGGAAAAACAGAGGGCATGACCGTGGGCCCTGACCCCACCACAGCTCAGACACTGCGGCCTCAGGATGCCCTACCCAAGTCCTGGCCAGATCCAGCAGGCTTTGTCGAATCACTCCGGGCAAGATGATGCCGTCCAGAGGGGGGGTTGCCAGCTCCAGCACTGTTGGGGATGGCAGGTGGTGACCCTTAAATGGTCTCCCCTTTTAGAAGCCACCTGCCCAGGACCCCCGAAAATTAGGCCGGTGGTCATACAGGGTGCCGGTTAGGTCGTGAGTTGGCTCACCCCCGTCCTCATGAGTCCAGTAGATGAAGATGTTCATGGTGCCCACCTCGGTGAGCTGGTGGTCTGGCCCATACAGCCAGAGGACTTGCTCGCAGCCCTGCTTCTGGGCTTCTTGCTGCACAGCCACGGTGGGCCCGTAGTTCCTGGAGGACAGCCTGCTCAGACTAGGCAAAGAATTCCCCACACTCCCAGCAACACTGTCACCTCGGCCCCCCTGCGACTCTCCACCCTGCAGCGCAGAATTCTTAACCTAATGGTTGGGGTCAAGATTGGGGCCCTTCCTGGTTGGTGCCCTTTTCTGCCTCCAGTTCCTCCTTTCTCTACCTGCTGAGATTAAAATCCCAATTCTTTTGCTTGCTTTACTCTACTTCTCTTTTTTGTTTTGTTTTGTTCTGTTTTTGAGAGGCTTTCTCTGTGCAGCCCGGGCTGACCTGGAACTCACTCTGAAGACCAGGCTGCCTCTGCCTCTGGAATGCTGGGATTGAAGGCGTGTGTCTCCACACTCAGCTGATTGTTTTTGTTTTGAGATAGGGTTTCTGGTAGCAGAGGTTGGCCTCAAAATCCCTACGTAGTGAAGCTATTCTTGAATTCCTGGTCCTCTTGTCGCTGGTCCTCCCTGGTCCTCCCGGGAGCTGGGATTACAGCTGTGCACCCCCAGACGGGCTTTCATCCTGTTTCCACCTGCAGTGTGTTACCCAAACCAGACTTTGCCTCTTACTCATAGGATGCTCCCACTGTTCTGGGACAGGATCACAGCTTATGCTGAGTCTTGTGCAAAAACTGGTCTTGTCTGTCTCCCTGTGCCAACTGCGATCCTATCCCGATAGCCCACTTAGGAGGGCCCTGTGTTAGTGACTGCTGCTGGGCATGGTGGTGCACTCCTGTAATCCTAGCAAGATGTAGGCAGATCTCTGAGTTTGAGGCCAGCCTGGTCTACAAATCAAGTCCAGGGACAGCCAAGGCTACAAAGGGAAACCCTGTCCTGAAAAACGAAAGAAAATGGAAGGAAGGAAGGAAGGAAGGAAGGAAGGAAGGAAGGAAGGAAGGGGGACCACTTTTTTTCTTTGGGTAATGGGGTTTGAACTCAGGATCTTACACATGCTAGGTAAATATTCTTACCACTAAACCACACCCCCAGCCCCTGACTGAGGGGTTCTAGCTAAGCTGTATTGCTAGTCCATGGCCCCACCCCAAGCTTTCTTTTGTAGTCCTCCTGCCTCAGGCTACTGAGGAGCTATGACTGTGTGGCATACATGGCTGGATGCCACCATGCCTGGCTTCTCTTACTACCTTTATAGCCAAGAAACCACAGATGACGTGCTACCTCTTTTATGGAGCTTTCACAAGAGCCTGCGAACCTACATTAGAGCTGGCAGAACTGGACACCAGGGTGCCCACCAGCCCAGCTGCCCCCAGGGATGGGGCTGGCTTTGCCTCATCCATCACCAGCTGCAGCCAACACATGGCCTGATACCCAGAAGACCTCATGGATGTGTTCTGAGAGGACCTGAATAACCTCCCTGTGTGGCCACACTTCCTTGTTCCAACATGCCAGCCAGTAGCTTGCACCTGACCTGATCCCAGGAGACTTAGCCACCTCCTCACAATATACTGTGCCAGCGCCTTCGGCAACATAGAATGGTGGGAAGTCCACAGGGTCAGAATGGGGACTGAGGCCCAAGTAATATCGGGAGCTATGCACGCAAGACGGCCCAGCGCAGGTGACCGGAAAGAGAAGAGAACGCTTAGGGTAACCTTGTTTTCTAGGTATTTCCAGGGGCTCAGTTTTGGTCTTCCCCACGATGCTCCCATCTGTAAGCCCATCTGTTCGTAGGGGAGATAACCCATTCTCTTTTCACCTTTAGTGTCAGGCATCAGGGACACAAAGAAAGCCCAGGGCCCACACACAGAGCCAGTGACAATAGCTTTCCATGCCAGCACCCAGGAGAGCCCCAACCAGGAAGCGCAGGGCGCACTCTGTCTAAGTGCAGGGAGCACTCTTGCCCATCCTTTCACAGCATCTCCCCCTCCAGGGCACAACTACCTGGGGGTGGAGAAAGCTACTTACCCCCCCACCTTGTAGTCACCAACCCCTCCCATCCAGGCTCTGATGAAGGTGGGGTCGGCCAGGAGCGAGACAGGTGTCATGGAGTCTCCAGGGAAGTAGGAGCCCACAGGGCAAAGGATGACGAAGAGAAGGGCTTGTGTGACCACACCGACTCCCAGAGAGGGCTATGATGGGGAGAGCAGCATCAGAGCAACAAGCCCACACTCCAGCCTCCTCCTCCCCTAGCCCCAGAGCTCCGGGCCCAGCCTCCTCCCTCAGAACCCGGGGTCCAGGCTCAGCCATTGTGTTCCCCTGCTAGGGAAGTGCAGGTCGTCAGGCTAGCAGCTCTCGCCGCGGTGCCCACCTCATTCCCAATCAGCACAGGCCGCACATAGAGGCTGGTTCCATTGCCATCAGGAACCCAGTCTTTGTCCACTTCAATGAGCCGGCGGATGCACTCCAGAAGCTCCTGCTTGTCAAAGCCCTGTGTGGATCCACAGGGGTCAGGGGTCCGGATTCTCCCTACCACCCTCTGCCCTCTCTCCTAGGACAGACTGGCCACTCACTGGCAGGCAGAGGCGCTGTGCAGAGCGTAGCATCCTGTCCATGTTGAGCCAGGGCCGGAAGAGGCGTACCTGATGGTCCCTGCCTCTGTATGCTTTCAAGCCCTCAAAGAGCTGCGGGGACAGGCAGGGGAGGGGTGCTCAGAGCTGCATCTCACAGTAGCAAGAGACACACAGATATACATGGAGACAGAAAAGGGCCAAGTGATGGAAAGACATGAAGACTCAAAATGCACAGGGCAAGGCAGGCATGTAGTCCAGGCCTCTTATCTCAGCTACTCAGGGGCGGAGGGAGGAGAGCATGCTCAGTTAAGGCCAGCTTGACGGAAGCCTGGCCCCAGGGTGAGCTCTAGTCTCAAAAACACCCTGTGCAAGAAAAAAAGTTCACTTACTATACAAAATCCTCCTACATATTGTTTTTGGGTTTTTTTGTTTTTTGTTTTTTGTTTTTTGTTTTTGTTTTTTGTTTTTTGTTTTTTGTTTTTTTCTCAAAACAGGGTTTCCCTGTGTAGCCTTGGCCATCCTGGACTTTGTAGACCAGGCTGGCCTTGAACTCACAGAGATCCTCCTATTTCTGCCTCCCAAGTGCTGGGTTTAAAGGTCTGTGCCACCACTGCCCAGCAACTTTGAGAACTTTTAAAAACTCTTTGGCTATTAGAAATTTTCTCAAACAGGCTTGGGCAGTGAAACTGACAAGTTCTAAAGGGAATAATGTATGCATGCCCTTTGACCTGCTAGCAGTAGAAACTGGGCAGAGGCACACTTGCACTCAGAGGAAGTGATAAGGGCACCTGGTCCTTATTGCAACATTCTTTCTGTCTCAAGGCTGGAAAGAACAAACACCAAGCAGTAGAGGACCATCTGTTGAGGGGACCGTCTACTGAGGGGACCGTCAGGTGGACTGCCATGCTGCAGCAGCAGAGATGGCAAGACTCCCTAAGGATTGTCACAGGAAAATCAGGTTACTAGACCCTAAGACTCCAGCTTAGGGGCTCATTCTAGGCCTGGCTAGCCTCACAATCCTGCAGTCCTTCTGCCTCAAAGTCCTGAGTGCCGGAACTCTACCAGTTCCCCACAGTCTGCGAGGGTCTTAGCATATCCAGGCCGGCCCTGTCCCTGCTCAGACTCCTCCTCATAGCATATCCAGGCTGGCCCTGTCCCTGCTCAGACTCCTCATCTCCGTGGCCCTGATGACATCCTAGGCCTCCTCTGCCACACTGAGACCTCACAGTGCCTGCCAACCTAGCTCTTCTGCCTGCATAAGCTGTCCCCTCCTGTGACCCCACTTTCTTTCAGAGCACTGAGTTCCAGCAAAGCAAGATCTGCTCCTCTCAGACATGACTGTCACCTTGATTGTGTCCCAAGACACAGGCAATTGCAGGAAAAGATGACAGAGCCACAGAGGAAGCAATGTGCAAAGCACTCAGAGAGCTGAACTCAGTCAGATGCAAAGCAGAAGGCAGATGCTGCTGGGTGGGAGACAGAAGCAGCCTCCCACCTGCAGGGAGTAGTGCAGGGCAGAGCAGGCGGGATGCAGCGTCAGGTGCTGAAAGGGCTGGATCCTTGGAGGGCCCCAGCCTGTCTTCCTGTTCCACTCCACCATCAGCATGTGGTCTGTAAATGTCTTTCCGAACAGCAGCGGCTGGCTAGGGCCCGGCTTCTTCTGTGGCTCCCCGGTCACCTGAACCTGGAGATCTGCAGCCTGAGAGAGAAAGAGAGAGAGAGAGAGCATCTCAGGGATCTGGAGTCACCAACCTGAAAGACTACAGCTTCAGGGGACCTCGGCCTCAGACCCACAGAAACGAGGAGGCACCAAAGCAACAGTGTTAACCCTTCACAGAACCTGAGAGCAGACAACTGGATGGCCTCAAAGAGATGCCTACATGCAGGTGAGGCCTGTCCTCCCTCAGACACAGGCGCACAGACTCCAGGCTTCCTCCCTTAGAGCCATGGTTCTCCTTTTACCTTGAAGTTGGAGGACACACATCTTCTGGGCCCACACAGAACCCAGGGGACAGGGAGAAGTTTTCGGGCCCAGACCTAGGGTGGAGAGAGAAACAGAACCAAAGAAAGAGCCAATAAGAGCAGAGGTCCTGGCACCCCTTTGCCACCTCGTTTGGAAGGCCCCTGATGCCAGCATTGTCCCTCTACTCTGCCCAAGTCCCCACTGGGATGGCTATTCCTAGAAAGACCAAAGTCAGTCCCGGCCCCTCCACCACACAGGGCAAAGTCGACAGAGGAGCGCCTCCCACTAGAGAACTTTGACCTCAGCCTGTAACCAGCTTAGACAAACAACAACCAGGGACAGCTGAACAGGTAAGGGAACAGTCCGGGCTCGGGGGGCCCAAAATCTGATGAGAGTTAGAAAAGAATAGGTCCTGTTTATCCCAGAACTCTGCAGCCTGGACCCCAGACCACTCCCAGAGACCCAGGGGACCAGGCTGCTGGCCGTCATCCCTCAGACCCAGAGCTCCAGACTCCAGACCTCTTCCTCCTCCTGACCCAGTGGTCCTCCTTAACCTTCCTCCCTCAGACCCACTATTCCAGCCCTCCTCTCTCAGACACAGGGGTCCTATCAAGCGGGCAGTAATGCGGTGTTCTTCACTGTCACCAGCTGAAGGCAGCCATGTGCTACCGCCGAGAACGCTCATTGCACTTTGCCTGCTGACCCTCCCTACGGTTAGCATGGAATTTAGGACTGGCTGTGTGCGGGATGGGGTCTCCTTCCTGTTGACCTTTGACTTTGTGCCTTTCTCATCAGAACCCGGAGAGGCAGCTGGGTCCTGAAGTTGAGGAAGACAGGGTAACAGCCCGTTCCTGCCGATGATGATCACTGCAATGGGAGAGGTCAGCAGAGGTCACTGGTCAATAGGTGAGTCTCCCATGTTTTATGGGTAAGTTTGAGCCAGGAAGAATTTTTTTCTTTTTCATTTTTAATTATTCATGTATTTTATGTACACTGGTGCTCTTCCTGCTTGTATGTGTGTCTGAGGGTGGCAGACACCCGGAACTAGAGTAACAGACAGTTGTGAGCTGCCATGTAGTTGCTGGGAATTGAACCTGGGTCCTTTGGAAGAGCTGTCAGTGTTCTTAACCACTGAGCCATCTCTCTAGTCCCCGAAAATTTTCTTCTTTTTTTTTTAGAGGCGAGGAAGATTGAGCCAGGGTCTCACTAAGTTGCCCACTGCCATCAAATGCACTCTATATCCCTGTGCTTACAGTTAGGATATTCCTGCCTTACGCTCTGCATTAGCTGCGATGCCAGGCACGTGTGCCACCACATCTGGCTCAGAGAAGATGCGCATGGAAAGCGTGTGTGACAGTACATGTGTGTATTTGTGGATGTGCCTATTGAGGACAAATTCAGATGTCATTCCTAGGGTGATTTCCACCCTGTTTGTGTTGAGACAGGGTCTTACTATATAGCCCTGGCTGTACTGGAGCTCACTCTGTAGACCAGGCTGGACTCAAATCCACAGAGATCCACCTGTCTCTGCCGACCTAGGCTGGGATCAAAGGTGTGGGCTAGCACCCCCAGCCCGTCCTGCTTTTTTGAGACAGGGACTCTGACTGGCTTCTGGAGCTTGCCAGTTGGTTCAGACATCCTATAGTCTCTACCTCACCAGCAACACAGAGTGAGTCACGATGTGTGATGGTGTCCCAGCACTCAGGAGGCAGAGGCAGGTGAATCTCTGAGTCTGAGACCAGCCTGATCTAGACAGTAGATTGCAGGACATCCAGAGCTACACAGAGAAACCCTGTCTAAAAAACACAACACAACAAAACAAAAACAACAACAAAAAGAGTGAGTCCCAGGGTTCAAACTTGGGCCTGCTGGCTTGTATGGCAAGCACTTTACCAGCTCTGCCCTTGTCTCCCAGCCTTCAGGTCTTAACGGTGTGGTATGCAGGGCTTCTGGGGTCCCCGAGGAGCAACAAGCTCTCGTGTCTCTGTGATGACACAAAGCCTGCCCAGTATCACCACCCCGGGTAGGGCAGCCAGCATGGAGGCAGAAGAGCAGAGGAAACAAACAAACAAACAAAAAAAAAATTGTAAGCCAGTGAGCCAGAAGCTGAGCAATGAGCTGGAACAGTCCAGAACTGTCATTCATTCTCCCTCCTGGCCTCCACCTTGCCTAGCTCTTCCCCAGCCACACCCAGGCCCAGCCAGGCATTTACCTTGGCTATTGTTTTGCTTGTGAGTACTTGGGGACTGAACCCATGGCCTCATGAATGTTAAGGAAGTGTCCTAAACACTGAGAAAACATCTCCAGACCTAAAGAAGGAAAGAAAGGAGATACAGAGACGAAGAAACAGTAAGATGCAGCTGGGGCCGTGCTCAGCTGGCAGAATGCTTGCCTAGCAGGCAGGAGTCCCTGGGTTTATTTAGTTTTTAATTTTATGTGCATTGACGTTTAGCCTGCATGTATGTCTGTGTAAGGGCGTCAGATCTTGGAGTTACAGACAGCTGTGAGCTACCATGTGGGTGCTGGGAATTGAACCCAGGTCCTCTGGAAAAACAGACAGTGCTCTTAACCACTGAGCCATCTCTCCAGCCCCAATCCTTGGGTTTATTTCTTCTCTGGCATCATATAAACCCTGCAATCCCAGAACTTGTGAGATAAAGGAAGAAGAAGGATTAGGAATCCAAGGCCATTCTTGACTATGTAGCAAGTTTGAGACCAGCCTGGCCTTTATAAGACCCTGTCTCAATAACAGTAATAATATTAATAATAAATGAGGGACCAGGGTGTAGTGGCACATGGGTTTAATCCCAGTACTCTCAGGAGGCAGGGGCAGGCAGATCGCTGAGTTCAAGGTTAACTTGCTCTACATTGTGAGACCTTGTTTCACAAAAAAGAAACAGAGGACAAGAGATACCAAAAGAGTTCAAGGCCAGCCTGGTCTACAAAGCGAGCCCAGGACAGCCAAGGCTACACAGAGAAACCCTGTCTCAAAAAACCAGAAAAGAAGAAGAAGAAGAAGAAGAAGAAGAAGAAGAAGAAGAAGAAGAAGAAGAAGAAGAAGAAGAA